TGACTCCACAGTCCACTCATCCTTTTCAGATACAAAAATAACACATTGTTTTATCTATGAGCATAAGAATCCTTTTTCAAGGGAAATAAAAGGAGCAGACAGTTTCCTTCCTGGCTAATTCATGAACCTCTTTAAATCTGTTAAACATAGCTGCAGACACAACTCATTTGCTTGGTTTCATTTCCTAAACTCAACCTGACAAGATAGGTCAGTGTGAAGGGTCTATATGCATATATTGGGAAATGAAGTCGAAAGCTAGGGGACGTTTCCTGGCCACCAGAGTGACAGCCACCAGAGAGAGAGCAAGGATCTAATTTCAGTGATAAAATTATTAACCAGGTCCTGCGCTGAACAGTTTGGAAGAGCATCTAAGGATCCAGTTTTTATTCAGTGAGCCTCAAGTACATCCATCCGAGATGGTGCATCTAACTAAAAAGATCCACATAATATCCACTTTAAAAAAATCTCCTTATCCCAAACTGTATATGGAGCTGAAACCTGCCTCCTTGAAATTTCGCCACCATCTCCCTTCCTTGGTTCTGGCTATATTTTCTGGTGTGTCAGAGGAGTGAAACATCTCCTCAGTCTGATGCTTCTCAAATATTTGAGGAAAACAATAATATCACTGCTTAGTTTTTAGACTAAACATCCTCATTTCCTTGCGCTACTTTATCATTACCCTATTCGGATATGGCTCCATTTATTTGTAAATGGGTACAGTATTTCAGGTGGTTTGATGATTGCAGATCAGGGAATCTGTTTTCTCAGCCAACCCCAGTTTTTAAGCAGAGAGGTCGGGTTCAGCTGTCACTGCGAGAGCAGGGGGAGAAAAAAATTACAAAAGAGAGCCAGGAAGAAGGCAGAACAACTATAAAAAGCAGACACAAGAACTCAAAAAGCATGGCAGTTGAGGACAATAATGAGTAAAAACAAAGAGCCATGTGCATGAAGTGCCCACAGCCACCTTGCAAGGCTCTATCATTTCCCCAGGTGCTATTGGAGACTCATGCCACCCGAGGGAAAAGAGGTCATGAATCAAAAGTACCAGTTCCTCAGAAAACCCAGTGAGCTAGACAAGAGGAAATATTTAAAATACCTCAACTTTGTTGTTGCCAAGGGAGATATCAACGTAGAGGGCTCACAGTTGTCTCATAGCTCACTGCCCCATTTGCCTTGCCAACCCAACAACCTCTGAGGCTTCCTTTAGACCTTGGTTCACTCCCCATGGCCTTTCTTGTCTCTCTGAACCCCCTGAGCTCTTATTAGCAGCACTGTGTGGTCTGCTTGATACAAACTAGTGTTTCTATTTTATCCTTAGGAGGAGCTCAAAATTCCTCTTTTTTAAGATTTGTTTATTTAGTAGAAAGGGGTGGGGGAAGGGGCAGAGGCAGAGAATATCCAAGCAGACTCCTGCTGAGCATGGAGCCTAACACAGGGCTCAATCCCATGAGCCATGAGATCAGGACCTGAGCTGAAACCGAGAGTTGGATGCTTAACTGACTGAGCCACCCAGGTGCCCTTAGAAGCTCAAAATTCTTATTGGTCTGGTTCTGATTGTTCCCTGTGCACCTTAATCTGCTTCCAACCAGGTTGTGAAAGCACACTGAGGTGAGGGATCATGGTTATACTTCCACGTGCTGCACAGTCCGGGGCACATAACTAAGTTGTTGAGTTAATAACTAATTGAATTTGGCTTATCTCTCTTGCCCTAAACAATCTATTGACGTGTGTCTTTTTTCAGACCTTCAGTGGTGGTTTTCTAAGTAGATCAATCCAGCAAACACATTTATCGAATGCTCAGGGAAAGAGGAGTGAAGAGTAAGCTGTGGTAAGCGTTGCGTTAAAGGTTCGCATTAAAGGTTCACGGCAAGTACTCTGGGAGCACAGAGGCGAAAGTGATGGTAAGGCAGGAGGTCCTTTCCTCTACACCCGAAGCAAGTCAAGGTGAGTTGTCAGGATAAATAGGGTTGTCTGGGGGAGAAGGAGATGGGAAGAGGGAAGGCTGTGGAGACCAAAGGAAGGCACTGTGTACAGGCAGAGGATGAGGAGGAGCAGTTGCACAGCTGGGGAGCTAAGGGGTGAAGGGAGGGGTAAGCCACAAGCCTGCAGAAGGAGCCCAGGGAGGACCTTGTGTGCCTGGATGAGGATGAGAGCCTATCCAGAACCACTGCAAATTCGAAGCAGGGAAGTAACATGTCTTAAGATTAGTCATTTAAAAAGAGCACTCTAGAATTGGAAGACGATGGAAGGAGAGAGAAGTAGGCGGGCTCTTTGGAAGGCTGAGAGATGATGTCAGGAGATGGCAGGGTTAGGACGTCTGTAGAGGCAGCCGACATGGCAATCAAGTGAGAATGGTCTCCCCTTTTCTCAGAAGCAAATGACACAGGCTGATGGAAACGTGTAGAAAGGATCAGTGGCAGCCATATTCTTAATGCTGTCTGACTTCAGAAAAGCACTTAGTGGGAAAAGGAATCACTGTAGGAAATTAGAACCAGGTAGAGAGAAAACCAAATAACAGGATAACTGAAAAAGTCTAAGAACCGAATTTTATGCTAAGGCCTCAAGGACAAGTTCCTACGGCACCTCAGGGATTGGGACGAATGGAGAAAGGGTGGACCCTCCACAGGTTACAGGACATGGACTGCAGCCAGCCTTCCTGCTGACTTCGTTGTATGACTTTGGGCAAATAATTTAACCTTTCTGGAGCGTCTGTTTTCCCATCTGCAGACTAAAGATAATACTAGTTACTTCTTTGGATTCTTAAGTTCATGGGATTAGGTATACCAGGTGTCTAGCAGTATCTGCACGGAAAGGTACTAAATAAACAGTCTCCTGCTAAGTGCGGGGCACAGCTAAGAGATACAAAGATAGGTCAGACACAGTTCTGTCTCAAAACGTTTACAATTCAGTCAGGAAGAGAGGGATATCAATCCCCAAATAATAATAAAAAGCAGGATAAAATAAGTACAGACTAAAGATCCAAGAACCATTGGTGTGGGAGGGCAGGGAAGAGAATGAGCATCTGAGTCAGCTGTTCATCCTGGAGGACACTGCTAAATTGGCCATAGGGACAAAGGAGGGTTAGCGGTAAGTCAGGCTCTCTGATGGCCAGCGTGTTGGCTCCAGTCCAGCCTGGGAGTCTCCCCAGTGCCACTGCTCTGCCCGTGGACAGCAAACACATCACAGCAGGAGAGACTATTCCCAGGGGGTAGACTTGTGGCAAATAGAAGGGTGGTGGTCCTGACTGCAGACAGAAGAAACTCACAGATGTCGTGAAGCAAGATGGCTTCTGGGAACCCCAGATCAGCCTGGCAGAAAAGGTGAAGGGAAAGGAAATAAAGTCTTTGTGGAGAGCTGCAAACTTGCAGAAATATCCCTGCTTCAGGCAAGGGCTTCTCCCAAGCCATCAGCTGCCTAGCCACTGGGTCAGACACGGCTGCATATTCCCTGATAGAGAAGAGTGGGGATGGTGGGGATGAACCACAAAGAAGGCAGGTATGGGAAGCTGGAGTGGGTCTGAAGAGCCCAGCTCTCATTTACGTTTGCCATTACCTGGCTGTCGGGTTTAGATCAGTCCTCTCATTCCTGTATGGGGCTTCCTAACTGCTCTGTGCGTCTTTTGGGGTTGTTGTCAGGACATGGGGGAAAATGCCTTCTGGATTGAGCATCTGGGACCTCCTTGCCCCTTTCTCAGATCTGCAGCCCTCCCTGGCCTGATGGAGTGACTCCCTGAGGGCTACATCTGGAGTCCTTGTTAAAAGGTAAACGAACCATCCTTTGAAGAAAGAGGTGTTAAAGAGAGACGTGCACGTAATTTTCTCCATGGCTAATTGTTTTGTCCGCGCGTAAGCAGACTAGTTGAAAGAATCCTTGGAGATGAGGACTATTTGGGAGAGAAACAGGATCATCACTGTAAGTACTGGGGGAATGCTACCCTCAACTTTTTCCGAAAGTATACATCTGTGGAAGCATAGTTTCTAGATTTTTCAGGAGGCTCTCTAAAATTATCTCCTCGGCAAAGAATGGGGATGATGCTCTGTTTTAAAGGAGACTGGATTCCCAGAGTTAGACTCTGAGCAGTGCAAGTTTCCAGAGCGGAAGACCTGACGTATAAGCCATTGCCCCGCCAGCAATACTTGTGCCTCCTGTTGTCTGGGGAGCCCCTGGAAACAGGCTACCGAACAAATTGCGTCTTTTCATGGAAGACCTCAGAATGCCATAGATATTTACATCTCAAGAGGTGCCAATGTGATATTTTATGATACTGTAAATGTTATGTTTTGGATGATTCCTGGCATCAGAGGACTGAAATTGAGGTCTGAGCTACTTCCCAAATGGGAGCCACATGGCCACGGTCCTGGCTCGGATTAGACCGCTTTGGATTTTGCTGCTCAACAAACTGTCTGAGGTCTATAAAGAGGAAGCACTTGGAATAGTTTTCTCAAATGTGGTCTGTTTTTTATGTGTGGCTTCTCCCGGATAATATTTTGCAGACTGCTCCGTGTTAAAACAAAAACAAAAACAAAAACACAAAAAAACCCCCAAAAGCCTAGCTTGTGAAAACATTCAGGAGAGCGGCATATGTCTAACTCGTGGGAACTGGAAAAGGAAAAAGAACGAACGAGTTTCCACCGTGTGGGTGTTTCCCTCTCTCTACACCCCTCTGCCTTCTTGGATTTCTTTGTCACAAGCGGGGCCACTGCGGTCATTCTCTGCGGGTCAGTGGCGTACCCCTCTTCCAGGAACTACTTCCCTGCAGAGATGGGGTTCAGATGGTGGCTCTGGGGCAGGGGGGTGGGTGGCCCACCAGCGTCTTCCCCTTGGGCCTCGCCAGGGCCCCCCCCCCCCACGCGCCCTCCCTCACCCAGAGCCCCAGGGGAGGGGCAAGGAGGTCAGAGAAAGGAACAGGCTGGAGGCAGCGGGAGACCGGGAGGTGGAAAGTTAAACAGGGAAATAGACGTCTGATCTGTTTCTTGTTGCTTTCTGGCGCAGCTGTTTACCTTGAACAGTGAGGTACGCCGAACTTTCCACGGACCCCTTCTGGTTGGTGGCTTTGCAGTGATAGACACCTTCATCCTCTTCTGTGACTCTTTCAATAAACAGCGTGCTGCTTCCTGGTCCTAAAATAATTCCTGCGGGGTGAGAGATGTTTACATTAGTGGGCCTGGGTGACACACAGAAACAGCTGCTTCTGTAATCCAACCCTCTTCCTATAATTATGCGTTCAGACGAGGAAATCCGAGCTCTAGGTAACCTTGGGCTGGGCTGCTCATTTGTTTTCTCTCGGTCCGCGCCGCAGAGCTCGGAGCCCAGCTCTGGAGATGCGGATCGGACCCAGGCCGTTCGCTGCGTGGCGGGCCATGAGATGGGCTGCGTACCCAGCTTTCAGCAGCAAATGTCAAGGCGGCAGCATGCCCAATAAGAACACTTACCGTTGATTGGCGCCTGCTGTGTGTAAGCAAGACAAATGAATCCTTGCCTACAGAGGGCTTAAATTCTAGTTTTGGAGAATTACAACACACTTCCCATCTCGACGTTGACAACCGCCCCGCAAGGTCTCACGGTCTCCCGTTTTACAGACGTGGAAACAGATCCGGTGAGGTTAAGTAACTTGACCAAGAGCACACAGCTGGACTGAAACACATCTGTGGCCCCGGGGCCAAAGGAAGTCCTGCTTCACTGGTCGGAGAGGTGAAGAGCTGGGGCTGTGTTTTAGTCCAGGTCTTAGCCCTTCCAGCTTTGTCACTCTAGGCAAGCTACTTAGGCTTTCTGTGTTTCAGTTTCTTCAACCTTAAGCTGAAAATGCAAGCAGTTCCTACCAGGTGCACAGGAGCATGAACGGCTGGCGCAGGCCACACAGTAAGTGCTCCGTCAGTCCGAGCTGAAGTGTTACTAGCGAGCATCCCGTAATGGAAGGAGCACCGTGAATTTTCAGAGCCCCAGCTTGAAGGCCCAGTAGCCTCAACACCAAGGACTACCAGCAAGTATTTATTGAGTACTTACTCTGCTATTAGTCTATGTTAAAGATTTGGAGGGAGGAGGAACGCTAAGACACGGTATCTGCTGAGGAGGGAAAATGAACTCCTCCCAAACACACATATATACATATTCTCTCTCTCTCTGTTTCACACATATAAGCCAGCAAACAGAAAGTGTTTCATGAATGAGTGAATAGCATGGCATACCCAGTTAAATGCAAAGCTGGTGTGGGATGGAGATCCATTAAGTATAGGAATAACCTCAGGAAGGCCTCATGGAGGAGGTGGGCCTTGAGCTGAGGTTTCAAGGATTATCAGAGGTGCAGGAAGAAGGGCAGGCAAGAAGACAGCCATGCCACTGACATGAATGTGCATCGAATGCTTGTTCTGGAATAGTGATAAAATGGGCCTGGCCAGACTACAGGCTATTTTGTTTAAATAGTTTGTATTCCCCCTGATTATAAAAGACCCTCAAAAGAGAAAATTTGAGAAATATTGGAAAGCATGAAGAAAATGTAAAACAAACCTACAGTCTTTGCTTCTAGATATTTTCCTTTTATTCTTTTTAAAGTGGACTTTTAACACAATTTGTTCATTCATATGAAAATTTTGAGCTCCTACCATGCATGTACTAGCCACTATTCTAGATGTGGTGATATAATAGTAAGTAAGACAAACGAATCCTTGCCTACAGAGGGCTTAAATTCTAGTTTTGGAGAATTAAAAGTAAGTAATTTCAAGGAACAAAGTCTGTGAAGAAACTAAACCAGATTAAGGGGAACATGGAGGGTGCTTAGATCACGGAGGGTGCTTAGAGAAGGCTTTTTGAAGAGGTGACATCTGAGCAGACACCTGAAAGATGGGGAAGAATGAACTGTTTGAAGATCTGAAAAGGGCATTTGAGACATAGGAAATAGCAACTATAAAGTCCCTGGGGCAGGAATGAGCTTGTTTAAGGGACAGTGAAAAGACCACTATAGACTTTAGTTAGCAAGCAGGAGAGAGGAAAGTTGGCTGGGTTCAGTCATGTATGACCACAGGCCACAGTAAGGATTTAGGGTTTTATTCTAAGCACCGAAGCAAGCCACTGGAGGATTATATCTAATTGCTCATAACTATAAATAACAGTATAATGAACATCTTTAGACATAAGGGTTTTTCCGTATTTCGGATTACTTCCTTAGGATAGATGTCCAGAAGCAGATTTATTAAGTCAAAAGCTCTTGATTCTTACAACCACACTGCCTTCCAAAAAGATTATACGCACGAACATGTCTACCAGCAAGGCTAAAAGTCTGTTTTATGACTCTTGTCAGTACTGAGCAGGATCGTCTAAAAAATACAAAACACAAACCTTTGCTGATTTGATGGATGGATTTGTTAGCCATTTTTATTTTCAAAGCACCCGTTTTGAGTGGTTGACTAGAAAAGGTGAATTCAGATTAAGGAGAGGTTTGAAATCCTGGCCAAGGAGTTTCCATTCAGTGTAGAAGGAAAGAGGGGCTCACAAAAATTTTTGAGGAGGGAAATGACATAATGAAAGCAATGTTTAAGGAAGTTTAGTCTAGCATGAGAATGCAGGGTAGACTGGAACGAGGGAAAAGTGGCATCTGGAAGTCTAGCTCACCAGCTGTAATTCAGGCAAGGAATGCTGAGGATCCAAATCTGGATGGTGGGAAAGGAAGTAGAGAGGAGGAAAGGCATATGGACACTTTGTAGAAACAACCTATAGGAATTGCTGCCTTACTGATGCAGGAATGGACAGAGACAAATGCAAGGTGATTCTGATATTCTAAGTCCGTGAAACATGAGACTCTCCCCTGTAACCTTGGCTAAATCATTTAATGTCTTTGGGTCTGTTTCCCCATTTGTAAAATGAGAATAGTGCCCGCTTGGCCTATTTTATGGGATTGCTATGAGGATCAATTGAGATAATTTCAATGAAAGCTCTGGAAAGCACACGATATGGCATACATGTTAAAATCAGAAAGTAAAAGCATGGCTAGAGATTGGGTGGTCAAGGGCAATGAACGTTCATAGTAGCGGCTATCCTGCTACTCACCATCATCTTCATTGCAGTAGACCTGACCCTCAACCAACTTTCTATCACTCAAATCCTGGTTTAAGGCTGACACAATGAACAAATGAAGCCCAAGGCCTTGGATTTCACCCAAGGAGATGGGGCTATAGTTGTGAAGGTGAGCAGATCATGCCAAGGATGCCGTGAGCTAAGGTCACCTGACTGTTTCCTCTTTCTGTCACATGGAGGAGGAGACGGGGTGAGAGGGTGTCCCAAGCCAAGCAGCAACACTCTTCTTCCAGACTTGCTGTCACACTACACTCTGACCAGCGCTCAGAGGTTGATGTGTCACCACCAGGAGGACATTCGGAATCCTCATCGGGCACTTGCTCATTGTCTGCTCTCACTATTTGCCTTCTCTCAGACATAGGCCAGTTACTACCTTTATTATCCGCCCCCCCTTCCCAGCCCTCAGATCTGCCCATACTTATTCGTAGTTGTGTGCTCTCGTTTCTTTTTAATGCCTTAGCTTGTTGCTACTCACTTCACATGACCCGACCCCCTATGATACAGATGCTGTTCTACTGAGGAGCTCATCTTCTACAAAGGGCTCTCTTCTTAGTTTAACTTTTTCATTGTGATTCATTTCAAACATTTAAAAGTGCAAGAAAAATAGGACCCATGTACCCACCCTGAAGATAATCAGATGTCAACATTTGGCCATATTTGCTCTATTCCCCCCTTTCTCTTTTATATGAATAAAATGTGTAGATACTTTATCCCCTTCCTTCTCCTCTCCCCAGAGGTATCACTATCCTGAAGTTGGTGTGTCTCATTCTCATGCACGTTTTTGTGCTTTTTCCACACTGCTATGTACCTCTATAGACTATATAATACTGTTTTGTGGCTTTAAACATTCTAAATAAATGGTGCCATACAGTATATACCTTTTTTCAACTTTTCCTATTCAGTGATGTTTTAATATTTATTCTTGCTGATACATGTAAATGGAGTTCATTCTTAACTCATGTTAAAAAAAACTCACTGTATAAAAAAATCTTCTCTACTACAAGATAGTTTTCACTCTTTTACTGTTACAAAGAAGGCTGCCATGCACATCTGACACACGTATGTACACATGGTTATGCAAACATCTCCTTGTGCTGGGTTATACGGTACACCGATTTCAACTCTATGAATAGGATTACAAAATTGTCTTCCAAAATATACTGATTTATACTTTCACCAGCACTGAGTAAGAGCTCCCCTTCCCCCATATACTTCCCAATACCTGGTGCTACCAAATGTTGCAATTGATGGCAACATGATGGGCATAAGATGGCATCTCTCTGTGGGTTTAACCTCTGTTTCTCTGATTACTAGTTAGGTGGAACATCTTTTCCCAATTTTGTTGGCCAAGAGGGCTTCTTTTCCTGTGGATTACCTCTTCATGTTTCCCGCCCATTTTTCTATTAACATGTTTGTCTTTTCTTCAATGATTCTGGGTTCTCTAGATGCTTTGGATACCGATCCTTTGTTGGTTTAATATGCTGCAAGTCCTCCCCCATTCTATAAACAGTCTTTTAAACTTTGCTTATGGTGATTATTCAATACAAAAGCTTTTAAAATTCTAATGTAGTCAAATTTATTAATGTTTTCCATTATCCTTTGTGCTTTTTGTTGCTTTCTTTTTTTTTTAAGATTTATTTATTTGAAAGAGAGAGAGAGAGAATGAGAGAGAGCAGGGGAAGGGGCAGAGGCAGAGAGAGAATCAATCCTCCAGCAGAATCCAGCTGAGTGCAAAGCGCAATGTGGGGCTCGATCCTAGGACCCTGAGATCATGACCTGAGCCGAAATCATATCAGCTGCTCAACTGACTGACCCAACCAGGAGCCCCCATTGCTTGTTTTAAAAAGATGGTTTCCTATTCTGATTATATACTTTCTTCTAAAAATTAAAAAAAAAAATCTTTTAAAAAAGATTTATTTAGAGATTTGCCATTTTTCATTTTCATTTCTTTAATCCATCTGAATTTTCTTTTAGGGAGGGGTATGTGTGGTGTGAGTTAAAAATCTGATTTTTACCCTATAAATAGCCAGTTATTCCAGCATCATTTACTGAATAATCTGTTCTT